AGTCGAAAACATTAAAATGTATTTTAAAAATATGTCTACTGTCGGCGCGTGAACACTTTTAAACTCCCGGAACGATTTTAAAGTACAATGATTTATCATCCGTCGAAAACAATATGATTTATTTCATGAACAATTTTAAACCTATCTATATAGATTTATCATCGATCTTTACTCAGAAATAACTTCTAAACTTCGTTACTGTGCAAACATATTTTCAAACACGGCCGTCGAATTAAAATATGTATACATAGGCGTTGGTAGAAATATTTTTCTGGGTAGGACAGATAAAATAATATGAATGTTTGGATGGAAAAGACTACTAATACAAATGTTTGATTTTAAAATTCTATCACTTTCGTAAAAAAGTGGGTAGGCCCGGTTTTACCAGGTGCGCCCGCTGGCTACGCCACTGAATGTATAGTATCCCTATACCTTTTTGAGGTTGTTTTTTTTCTGATTTCTAGCTGTTAAACGATCAACTAACCGTTACCAATCTGTCGCCGGTGTTGAATTGTAAAACGTCTCAGCTAATAGCCGCGTACGACGAACACGTACTGGTTTCGCACTTCAAATTCGGCGTGTTGTACCAGAAGTACGGCCAGACCAGCGAGGAAGAATTGTTTTCCAATCAGCATACCTCACCGGCGTTCGATCAGTTCCTCCAACTGCTCGGCCAGCGAATACAACTGAAAGATCACAAAGGGTAAGACACGGCTACAACTCGATTCCCAGAAAATATTGTATTGTGATAATATATAATAATCATTTCTCGTCGCTTTTTTATAGGTACCGGGGAGGTCTGGACACGCAGTTCGGTCAAACCGGCGACGAAGCCGTTTACCAAGTGTTCAAAGACCGGGAGATCATATTCCACGTATCTTCTCTGTTACCCTACACCGACAACGACCCTCAACAGTTGCAGAGAAAAAGGCATATCGGTAAGTTCCTGTGCAACGTTTCTCACGTTTACCCTCTCGCCAAAATATCAACACTTGACTTATAATTCGTTTTTTTTTTCGCTTTCTAGGTAACGACATCGTAGCAATAGTTTTTCAAGAATCCAACACTCCGTTCACTCCGGACATGATTGCATCGCACTTCCTACACGCATACATCGTCGTCCAAGTAATCGAACCGAACACTCCCAACGTCAGGTGCGTACTTACATAACGTAGAACATATTTTTAGTATTGTATTGTATGTTGTTCTTACTATAACGGTTTTTGTTTTTCCGTCATTCTCGTAGGTATAAGGTTAGCGTGACTGCCCGTGACGATGTACCTTTCTTCGGACCGACGTTGCCCAACCCGGCCATTTTCAGGCACGGTCCGGAATTCAAACAGTTCCTTCTTACCAAACTGGTAAACGCTGAAAACGCTTGTTACAAAGCGCACAAATTCGCCAAGTTGGAGGTAAGTCCCTATCCTCCGTCCACAAGGTTATTTTGTTATAATATTTATAATTATGTGCCCATAATATTCACCGTCCACTATATGATTTTAGCTGAGAACCCGGACATCTTTGTTGAATTCGCTTTGCGAGGAGCTGAAAGATAAGACGAAAGAATTTTTGGGATACAGCAGTGATGGTGGTCTGAGTGGTTTGGGATCTGAACTGCAGCCAAAGTCGGCGGGCTCATCGTCGTCATCGTCGGAATGTGGAAATGGTACCATCTCGGGGGCCGGTAGCAGGTTCATAGATACAGTGCGTAAAGCTCTAAGCGCCAGGGTTAAGAACCAAACATTGTTTAATGCTGAGGCAAACAACAATTCGTCTGGTGGACTTTCCAAGAAAACCAGTAGCTGTTCTGCGGATGGTATACCAAGCGTATGTATACATTATTATAGTTAAAGAAAATTGATCTACTTTGCAAATTACATTTTGGTAATATTATGTTTGACGTTCGTTTTGCAGTTTGGTAGATCTCTGTCCAAAAGCAGCAAAAAGAGCTCACCATCGTCACCCATATCTAGTCCAGATATCCATCCGGTGCATAGGACTTCTAGGTATGTATTAACTTAAAATGCACTGCAGAGTGTTGTTTTCTTTGTGTGTATTTTTTTAAATTTGTATTTAATACCTTGTAGTGGAGCTAGCCGTGTTGCTATGTCAGAAAGTGATTCATCATCACTTAATAGCGTTGAACTCGATGGTTTAGGCATGCCTGGTGCTGTAGATAGTGACACAGGTCTGGAGAGTATGTCGTCAGCTGAAACACCTAGTGGTAAGCCATGCAGCCTGTGCTGTGATACACAGAACAACGACTCCCGGGTGGAAGGTCTCCGACAGGACGTGACCAGGCTAAAGTGTGACAAACTGGAGTTGTTAAGACAGAATGTGGTAAGAGTGGGGTGTATATTTTTACTATCATATTATCATACTATCATACTTTTTTCAGTTTTTACCAATTTCTTTTGGTTTGTTTAAAATTTTTTCGTTTTTGTTACAGAATTGTCAACATGAAATAAAGAGACTACGAGAAAAAGAATTAGTACTGCAATCTGAACTGACATCTGCGTCCAAAGAAATACTTAGGCTAAGAGAACTGTTGAAAAACTATACCATCAACCCAAATGCTTCAACGGTTTAAAGGTACAGGCAGGTCTTTTACACAGACTTATATACCTACAGAAATATTATGTACATCAAACACTGCTAACAATATTAACTTTATATGATTAGACAAAGTTTCTCTTAAATGATGTAAAATAAGTCTTAATATGTGGTTTTACAATAGTAATATTTTCTATAGCTTGTCACAAAAATACCTATGCCTTAAAAAGTTTAAAATAAAGCTTGAAAAATTAATAATAGTTTTCTAATAGATGTTGTTGATTTTTTTTTTTTAAGTTACTTCCCTATTGAGTTTTTATTGGAGTAACAGTTAAATAAGTACATTTTTTTACAAACAATTTTTATTACTTATCATATATTGACTTTTACAAAATGTCTTTAATAGATTTTTATAAATATTGAGAAACAGTTGTACAAATTGTAAGCCACATTTGTTAGAAGAAATTGTTAGGCAATTAAAAAAAAAAAAAATACTAAATAGTTTCACAAGTCATTTTAGTTCAGTTTTATATTTGTACATAATATTATGTTCTTGCTTTTGAATTGGATCTCTTAATTCAAATATGTTAGTTTAAGTATCTCTATAATTTGTTTTGTGTTTTCAGGTCTAAAATTTCTGAATTTCACTACAAAAGTAAAATCATCAATTGTTGTTTCCTGTGGATATCTATTTTGTTGAGGCCATGGCCACTCACAAAAAGAATACTGCACATAACTACATGGAAATAACATAGCGCAACGCGATACCAAAGTATTACATATTATATAATTATATTCAAAACGATGAGAAAAAATTGATCGTTATTAATATTTATGTTCAATTGTATTTACCTACTAAAATTAGTGTTAATAATGTAAACATTATTATCTATTTTTATTTTTTAATTTTTAAGGGGAATGATAATATTGTGTAAAGCATATACCAAAGCATTATATTTGACATTCAAACAATTATTTGACACTGCACGTGACAATGTTTACTTGTTTGTGTTGAAATAGTGTTGCGTAATGGCGTAATAACCCAATTTTATTATAAGTAATTTATTTAACTGGTCAATTATTGACCAAAAATTCATCCTACACGTCACATAAATAATTGTAAATACTTTGAATTAGATAAATGTTTTTTTACACCTTAAGGGGGTTTTTTTTTAAGTGTTTGTAGTAGTAACAACTAAATAAAATATTACCTTTACACATAAATAAATTTTAATATTTAAAGCATACAGGATCACCGTAATAATACCTAACATAATGTATAAATAATACATTTTATTACTAATATACACCTACTAATACTTATTGTTATTATTATTTTCAATTAATTTTAAAATAATTTGTAATAGATACCTATTAAATAGATTATTTGATATACAAGTATTACACAAGTTTTATAACGCAAATGTCCTATCTGTTATATTTTGAATATATTCGCATAACTAATTATTTATGTAGGGCTGAGGAAAAGTAGTTAATGTTTATAAATTATATCGATACTCTGTCTATTATAAATGTGTTCTGTAAATTCTATCGTCTTGTTGAAAAGTTCTCGGGAAGAGGAAAATTAATTATATAAACGTTTAGTTGATATATTCTAATTGTTGATTATAATAGTATTATTACGGTTGTTTAAACAGTATTAAATGTAGAGGTAACAGTTTAGTTTAATTTAAAAATGAACGCACCTAGCATTTATATATAATAATAATAAATAGAATATAGTGTTGTACGCACAAATATTTGTTTTGGAAAAAAAACCATTACATGTGAAAGAAATGTATGTCAATTTGTATTAATATTATTTGTTTCAATTGTGTATTTACGAGTAATTTATAATAAATGTCCAAAACTATATTATTATTATTATTATTATTATGTTCACACACGTTTGAATGTAGCTATTATGTACACACATATGAAAAAACCCGCGCCTGTTTTGTTGTAAAATCGGCCACACTTATTAAATTTTTAAACTTAGCCCTTATTATATGAGTGTATTATGTTTTGTTATTATTAATGCAATAAATGTTAATTTTTATGCTATGTTCACTTTTACTTTGCATCTGTTCCTAAATAAACAAAGGTATTAATATTAACTCAATTTAATAGTGTATATTGTTATACAATAAAGTTTGATAAAATAATACGAGTACATAGAAATCGCAATTTTTAACATGTCAGTTACAAAAGCTGCACAACTTTCAGGATAAAATATTAAATTTAATTGTTTGAATAGAAATATAGGTAATAGATACCTGCTCCATTCATATTAACAATATTCACTTTATAAAATCTGTTCATTTAAAAAATATTATTCCATTAAGATCTTATCATGCAAATGTGCAACTAAGGTGTTATAAAATATGTAAATAAAGATTGCCTGTTCATAAATCAAATGCAGTATTGATAAATAAATAGTTAAATTTGATTTTGTACGCTAGATATTATAGTGAATTAACTTAGTAACTTGGATAGTAACAATGGATCAACAAATAAACATATAATAATAAAAATAAATTCAAAAATACTAGAAATACACTTGACTGCCTTATAGCAATGACTCTCAACATTTTTGCAGTCACGGAGCACCAGATAACTTATTAAGTAGGACTAAAGACCATTTTTCTATTTCAAAATGTCCATACCATGTTTAAACAGTCTAATTTCTAATAAAATATGAGTGATGTCCTTTTTATCACAGACCAGCCGTTGAGAACTACTGGGTTTCAGTTACCTGCAACCAAGAACCATTTGTACTATCTCTAAACTTAACTGAGCTCTGGTTATGACGTATAATTGCATAATATATACAATTTTTAATAAATTTGGCCACCTTATACATGATAAATAATTTGAATATCTTAATTTGTAAATAATTGACTCGACACTTTTTAAATTCTTAAAAGTACTTATATTTTGGTATCTATTTAATATATTATAGATATTATGAGTGATGAATATATGGTCAATGCCTCAATGGTCATAATGACAATTATTTTTTATGGAAAATACACATTGCACAGTAAGGATAGATGTTAATAATGTACAAATATACATTTTTAAAGTGTAATGTTTAAAAATTAATTAAAATTAGATTCAACCAGTATACAAATTATGAAAATAATTAATTTGGAATCTATTAAAATGATATCATTTGATATCTATGATAACTATGTATTTTAAATTTTACCCAAGAATCAAGATCATTCATTTTAATTTTTAATTGTTAACAGAGTTAACCATATGTTTATTGCAACTAGGTATATACCAACAATTAAAAATCTTAAATTTTATTTTCTTTAGTATCCATCAACTTAAAACTATATTAAAAATTCAAACAAAGTGAAATTTAATGGTACCATCAATACTTGTACTTCTCACATCATTTCATTTAAATAAATTTAAAAAAATATAAAATATCACTTTCAATAAAAATACATTATTTATTATAAGAAAATCAATTCTAGCATTTACTTATAACATATTATGTATTTACTAAAATAATTTCAAATATTCAACCTGTTTATTACTGTACTTTGTTGTACTACCTTACTAAAATCTATTACAACACAAAATAATGTTCAACCTTAACAGCTAGAATTTTTATTTTTCAGAGTGTAATGAAGTATCTACTATCTAGATCAGTGGTGTTCAAACATTTTTTGAACATGCACATTTCTCTCTTCACAACATCACAACATTTTCACGGAACACTATGACTGTTTTTTTTTTTTTTTGGTATTATTAAATTGTTTGCACAAAATTAGAATCAAGAACGAACTTTTAAATGATTGTAACATTTTATTACTTATTCAATTAAGTTGGCACATTTAATAAGAAGTATGTGTTTGATGGGCGTTACAAACATCTTTAATTCTTGGATGACTAATTGACAGACATACCAGCATTTCTTCCTCCATTGAAATTAGCTTTTCTCATTTCTTATAGTTTATATTCGTAAGTGTTAAAATCCCCTGTCCACAAAGATATAAAGTTGTGAACAAAAAATTAATAGTTAGTGCTTTTATAGATATTTCTGAATATTCTTCAGAAATATATGTCCAAAATGTATTGAGGACGATCTATTAGAATTGAAAACTGCGATCCAATTTTTTTTCATTTTTAATTAAATGGAGATTTTCTTCTTCAGCGAATTTTAAATCAACTAAATCACTTATAGATATATTGAAAGGATCTCGCACCAAGTTGTATTTTTAATATTAATAATTAATAACTAATAATTAATGACAAAATAACTAGCGCAGCAGTATGCTGAAACATAATAAGAATACCTTCATTAACTTTAGTTTCTCCATAGAATTAATTTTTCATTGACAATGTTAAAATATTTTCATTACAACCTTGCATATTTGAATTTAGTTTATTGAGATACTCAAAAAAAATCATTTAAAAGTGTAATTTGCGTCTACCACATTTCATCAAGAAAATTTAATTCAGATTCTTTCATAGTGAAAAAATATAAGTAACTCCTTTGTCAAGTTGTAAATTCGTGATGAAATATTTCCCCTCGAAAGACATCTAACTGCGCTGTATAAAACTATCCTCGAATAGTCTTAATTTAAAGCAGACTCGTAATATATGAGCCCTTATTCCTTTATCACTTATTATTTGTACCCCCTTAGTTTTACAGCGTTGAGTTAAAACAGAGTTTGTAGCCTTGTAATAGAATATATGAATCAATAATTGCAGAAAGGGGGGACATGTCCACCTAATTGTATGGAAGTCACAAAAAGCTGTCTAGGCAAGATTGAGAAGCAGCTGGGCGTACAAATGAATAAATCACAATGTTATCCACATTTTAAAAAATTAATCATCTCGATATTTTCCCAAATTTAACATGAAACATTGGCAGCCATTTAAATTGTTGGACGTGTCCTCCTTTCTGCATTTAAAAGATAGATATAGTAATAAACATATTTTTTCTTTGCGCTGAAAAATCTTTTATTCTTTTAAACAATTCGGAAATGTAATCATTTAGTTATTTATTAAATATTAAAGTTTATTATTTAAGATGCTAACGAATTGGCCACTCTTAAATTTCGTCCCGAAATCCGGGAACAGAATCCTTTGGAATGTAGGCTTCGTACGTTTCAAATCATTAATTTTTGAATTCATCACGGGAATTTTTTGGGTGTGCAACTGTTTCCTGGATAACTCAATTGGCGAAATATTTCGTTTTTTTTCTTTTACAATTCACGAATACTTAAAATACTTGTATTCTGTTACAGCTCAACCGCATGGCTACACTATATGTACACACAAACTACATTACGACTATGACTACGGCGTAAACGTACAAGTCGTCTAAAACGGATATACTATCTAATGATCTATTACCTATACAATTTTTTAATGCAAACAAGACGTATCTAAGATAACTTATCTCAATCACTTTCTTCCTACAAACTGTCGATTTATGAATACATAAACATAACAGATGCATAACGATTGAACGCAACATCAATTTCCGTGTACCATAATTCAACGCAATCAATGATTTATAATATCTATAATATTTGCGCAACCTTACTCGGGGCACCCGGTTTTAAATCCACTGATCTAATCGGATAAACGGACAAATCATACAAATGCATCGGCAAATCTGGTTTTGGTTTGTCCTCCTCGAAAAATCGTCTACATTACGGGTGTCCATGGCAAAAGTGAGTGGGCCCGGTATTGTCCACCTGATTTCGCCTAATGACAACACCTTCATCGTTTACAATATTGTCGCGGTGAAATTCGCGGTGTTCAACTATTCACGGACGAATACAAAACGAACAGCAGCAAATATGTTTATGTTAATGTCCGTTGAGTTGACAAGATAGGTACCTATATAGGTGAAGTCGTTCTAAAGTGAGTGATAGTTTGACATTATTTTCCAAAAACAATTCGTTCGGTTTCGGTATCCACCCGTATTGTCAAAATTTAAACAATACAATATCTACCTGCATTAAAATGATTCTCCACTCCGTAGCACATTTACCCTGTGAACGGTTTGGAACAACGGAATTTCAACCGCCGTCCTCGCTGTCGGCATTAGTTTATCGCGATAGCCGTTGACTTGTGATAATAACGTTTATAATCCATCACCGGATCCAAAACACCGTGCTAGTGTTATTACCTAATAAATGGATAGATAGGTATATTACAAATCTGGGCGAGTTAATCATTTATTTTTCAACTAGTTAAATTTAAGACATTTTAATGTAAACATACGAATGGTTTTTTTAGGTTTCGGTTTGAGTTTCAATGTGACAACTACTGTTAGTTTGCCAACAATTATATATTATTGTTTTAAAATCCAATATTATTACCAATGATATTGGACACTGGACGGACCAATACGCACATCATCTTCGATATTCAATCGTGATTTTTTTTTATTAATTGTGACCAATGAAGAAAATCCATACTTTTATTTTTGGTTGACTTGTGAAAAACTCGCAGGCAATCTGTGGACCGGCGTATAACCAACTGTGGACCGCCACGGGTCGCCGGTTACGAATCTCCTGAATACAAGTATACATTTCTGAAAGTACCTAAAATTCCAACTCGGTGAAAATAAGTAACTCGAGTTAGAGTAAAAGTCAATAGTTAAGTATTATTATAATAAATAATCATCGAAAAAGCGGGAAAAAAAAAATACGGGAGGTATGTTTTATTTTATTAATAATATGAAACGCGCGGTAAGCGACCGATATCGTTTCTCTGAAAGTCACGGGCGGCTGGAGTTCTCTGCGCTTTTGTGCACAACAAAAGGACTGAACGTAAACGAGTGTATACCTACGTTATCAGTATTTCGCATGAAACATTCAAATTGAATAATAATAGCATAATAATAATAATAATAATAAGCTCTTCTGTACACTCGCGCAAAGATTGTTATTTACACAAAACCACGGAATGCGTTAATATGATAATGTACAAAACAAAAATAACAATAAAAAAAAAAAAAAAAAAAAAAAAAAAAAAAATAAAGAAATTATTACACACAACGTTATAAGACGACTGTAACACGCGACGGGACGGCATGGTTTTAAACAGTTTTCGTTATTGTCTAAGAGATATTGGTACGAATCATACCAATGATTATATCGCACGGCATGATAAAACATATTTCGGGATCAAGTTTAAATGGGTTTAAGTTTATTAGAACACAATACAAATTGGATTTCTATTGAAATTTGCAAAGCATTCGATTGAATTTATATGAAAAAAAAAAAAAAAAAAAAAACAACGAAACAATGATTCGTGCGAATTCTGTTTTGTGGTTTTGCTATCATTCATCCGCGACGTATTGTCGGTGTCCGCACGTTGTTAGTGCGGCCCGTACCTGGTGGTAAATGTAAATTTCTGGTGCGGCCCACCACCGACGGTAAATAGAAAATTCGGTTCTGTAAACATTGGTCCTACACGCATAGGTACATTACTCATCGGCTGAAACACGCCGAAGAGAACTTGGTCACTGACGGCGTTTTGAAGTGGTCGGGGCGAAGTGGCGATTTTGGCGGGATTTGGTATGCGGATTAAGATTCTAGTAGATGGGTTTCTTTTTTTTTTTCGGTCGAATTGGGATTTTAATTACTGGTGGCAGTATTCAGAGGGGAGGGTTCGATTTTAGGACTAGGTATACGGAGAAATATGTGATTTAACGTTCCGAACAGCAGGTTTTCGGTGGCGATATCGGCAAGGAGTTCGTAGTAAGTGGCGCAAATCGTACTTGTTTCTTTACTTTTGAATCGCGACGTTTATTACCGGTAACAGTATTTGGTGAGGAGGGTTCGCGGTAACTTGAGACTTCTGTGGGATTGGGTACATGTTTTAAGATTTCAACAGGTGGGGTTTTTTCGGCCAAATTTGGTTGTATACTCCCGTTAACGTTATTCCAAGAGGAGGGTCCGATTTCAAGAGGAGTTATGTGGAGGAATATTTGATTTAAGGATCCGAGTAGCAGGTTTTTAGGTGGCGATATCGGGTTGCGTGTTTTCAGTGACGGTAACGGGAAGGGCCCGAAGGCCGGACGGAATGGCCGTTTTTTTGTTTCGAATACGTCGCACTGCGGTGTCGACCGTCATTCGCAGTGGCGTGCCCGAAAGGGACATGACAAAAAAAAAAAATTGGAAAATCGTCTCATCTGCGCGACTCGACTACCAGAGTTATTGATAATTTAAAAGCCGGATTCTAAAAAGAAAAAAAAAAAATTTTAATCAATACAATAAGCTTTTATTCGTAACTTAGCCGAAACATATGTGTTTCGATATTAAATTATATATGTTTATATATCTTATATATTTTTTTCATTCCCATGCCAACGGGTGGGGATGTAATCCCTCCCCGCGTACGCCACTGATTATTTGTGATACATAGAACATTTTTTTTTTTTTTTAAAACAATTTTCAGTGGACATTACTGTATACTACTGTAACTACAGATGGTGCGGCATCGATAACGGGTAAACATATTGGTCTGGTACGATGTATTAAAGAAGTAGCTGAATGAACGCATCTTATGCTTCACGGAGAGGCACTTGTATCAAAAAAAAAAAAAATGTTTACTGAGTTAAATGACGTTCTTAATGTAGCTATTAGAATTATTAATTTTATTAAATCTGGAGGATAAATAGTAGATTGTTCTATAAACTCTGTGAAGATAATGAACAACATTTTATATCACTTTTACATCATTCTGAAGTACGTTGACTTTCTCGTGGAAAATGTCTAATGTCTATAAATGACTGTTTCAACTTCAGCATAAAGTGTGAGAATTTCTTAACAATAAAAATTCCGGTTTGAAAACCTATTGTTGTGAGAGTAAATGGTTAATATTATGTTGGCATATTTGGTAGATATTTTTACCATGCTCGATGATTTAAATTTATCGATGTAAGGTAAGGAGTTCAACATTTTTGACCAGTCCAAAAAAATTGCTCCATTCAAAAATAAAATTACTATTTATAAAACCAAATTAGAAAAGGGAAATATTGATATGTTTTTAGTACTTAGCGAGTTTCTGCTCGAAGGCGACTCAGTGAATGTCACTGATATTAAACAAATTATTTTATTACATTCAAACCAATTACCAATTGCATTAAATAGTTATTTCCCAAAAAAAGACATTCCTGATGATTTTCAACGGATTAGAAATCCTTTCACTGTTTCAATTGGAGAGTTGAACTTTAATAAGCTTTTTGAAACTCAGATTATCGAACTTTCTTGTGATAAAACTTATGAAAATAAATATTGAAATGAAACTATTATTGATTTTTGGTGTGCAGTATACAATGGATACCCAGAATTGTCATTAAATGCGATAAAAAAAAAAAAAAAAAACATTAATTTTTCCTACTACTTATTTATGTGAAAAATGGTTTTCAACTATAACCAATATTAAAACAAAACAAAAAAACAAATTAAATGTCACACGTGACATGCGCATCAGTTTATCTGAAATTGTACCCCAGTGGGAATTATTATATGCAACGACATTTAGAACCAGCCATCACACTGAATCTCATTGAAATTATTTTATAATCATATCATATTAATGTTTCGTATTTTGTTTTTATTTTGAAATGCATCTAAAATAATCTCTATACTATTAACATAATTAGCAATTGGCATATTAAATATGTCATTATATTAAAATTAAATGACAACATTGTTTATAACACGAATTTATTCATATAACTTTTATTATTAATATTATTAATTATTATGTATTAAGCCATTATGGCACACTTGATTTTATATAAATTTTTTTTTTTTAATGTTGGGTCGCATACCCAAAAAAGAGTAAAAGTGAAAATACTCCTGCCCAATATACGTCGATGACACGGTTTTACGCGTTTTCACTCATTACCATAGATTACCGCACAACACAGGGATTGCACTACAACAATTAATAGCAGTTTTTATTTCATTCGTGTTACCGAGGTAAAAAATAAATCAACAAAAATAATAAGATATTTGTATTAAAAATATCTAATAACAATAATAATAATAATGCAAATTGAAACGTTTCATGAAATTTTGAAACACTAAGGCTATACCTATTTATTAATTGAATGTACACTCACACACGTATATATCACAAAACGGCATATTTATTTTCGTTCCGAAATTGAAAATAACACAAACAAGAGAAAAATATGCCGTCGAAATCGAGTGTAAAATGATATAGGTTTCTCTCATACGTAAGTAATGCGAAAATTGATTTTTCTGAAATGTTTTTTTTTTGTTTTTTTTATTTTATCCACGTAATACCTTTGTTTGATTGATGTGAAACGACGACGTTTCCATTCGTCGTGCCCCTTCCGTTCACATAGTGTATTTTCTATAGTAAATAATGACTCGTATAAATAACTTTTTTTTTTAGGGACATACTTCGCACAATGGGTGGGCCACTGTTGTAGGTGAGAATTTGAGAAAGTTAGGATAAAGAGGGAAATTTAATGTACACCTGATTAATATTTGATAACGAAAAACGATACCGAGCCGAGTTCAGCTGTACATGTTTTAAAAGGCAGTAATTAATACGATTTGAAAATACATTTCGTAAATTTTTCCGTTTTTCCTACGTTTTTTCCCGATTTTTCCCATCTATGATGAAAACCCTTGGGTAAATCAAAAAAAAGACCTCTTTAAATTACTATCCAAGTCAGATTTCCTTTCCGAAAAAGTGCTAGACTTGAAAATCGGAACAAAATTTTTTGATAGAAAAGTTGTTCACAGAAAAAAATAAAATAAATATCATTGTAAAATCAACACACTCCTCGCTCCTCTCAGAATTTAAAATATAAATCATTTTTTCAAAACATTAATAATAATAAAAAAATTAATTTTGTTTACGATTCGACTACTGTTGTAGGTGGGTTGTGGGTAGATAGGGAAGGTACACTGTACAAGGTAGTTTAGATTATGTCCTATGTATGCAACGATAAATCGTTGTACACGAATAAAACAATTCTGAACGGAAAATTAATATCAGTCGTGTTATTTGTCTTGTTACCGAAAAAACAAAAAAAAACACTTAGCGGGTGAACTGCTGAGAATGTCACTAGATGACTGAATTGAAGAACCACCGGGTACTTATCTGTGATATTCTGGATTTTTCGCAGCGACCAAAAGTTCGCACGCCACGACCTGTCGCGTCTTGCAAATCACATTTTATGATTATCCAGTGAAAATACTATTTCCGACAAGATCTCGTCGAGACATGTCACGGTCGCAGACCGTACCTTAAGCCATCTTAGATGCCAGCGATGTTACACTAGCCGCCTAGTAGAACAATCAGTATCTCCAAAAATTGAATTATTGGAAAAATTAGTTTTTAAATTTATTTGTTTTTCACCGTGAAATTATTATTTTTTACACACTTTTTTTGCATTAATTCAATATTCATAGACAATATCCTCAAATCGTTGAAAGTTGTTTTTTGTATTCAGTTTATTTTTTTTCATTTTCAAAGAGATCCTACGTTTTTCTCTAGTATTCTAGTACTATCGTTATCTAGTATTATTGTGTATTCAAAGCAAAAAATAAACTTTACAAACTGCAGTATTTTCATACATATAGATATTTTTTAAACCCATTTAAACATCATGATGATAAATAAAATAAAATAATGTCAATTGCATTTAGTATGTTTATTTTAGTAAATTTAATATTTAAACTAAAAAAATACCCCCCCCCTCCTAGCTTTCCAGCAAGTGAAAATATTTATATTCAATATATCAAAATCCCAAAAATTCATTATTGGTACCAAGGTGTTTTTATAAATACACTTTGATTAGTCGGTAGGTATATTTCATAATGTAAAATTCCGCTAATTTATTATGACAATATACAATAATTTATGCCCTGTGATTTGAAATTGGTATCAACCACTACAGCCGATCATTTGTGAATATTTTTGTGGATAGCTAACTTGCGGTTATCTAATGTGTGAAAATCGTTTATCCGGAGTATGTACGTTAAGTTTACATAGGAGAAAAGTCGACGAACTTAATTTAACAGAAAAAGTTGTTGATGAATTTGGGAAAAATAAAATAAAATTTTATGTTCAATTATAATTATTTGGTTTAGTGTAAAATGTAATATTGTATTGTAATACCTTTGATAGTACACATTAATGCATTAATAAAAGTGTTTGATTAATAATAAAAAATGAGGCTGTCCCCCCTCGGAATTTTCAACTCCGACCGCCCTTGTTTATATTTATTATCATATTGTTTTTTGTTTTTTTTTTCTATGTTATTAGTTATTACATTAAATGCATATTCAATCCCGAAAATCCCGGGATTAGTTATTTGTCAATTCCGGGATTTCCAGGATCAATAGAGAGTGGGTCGGTATCCCGGGGTTATATTATTTTAACTGCGCTGTAACGATTATTCTGTGAATTCGGTTCACAAACAACGACAATAAAACATTTTACATCCATTCCGGCTATATTATTTTCAATGTCCGTAACTTTTAATCACGAAAACTAGTCGACTCCGGTAATAATCATCTATCGTAATAATCGCTGTATCGAGTACTGACTTTAAACAATTTGACTTAATATTATAATAATCGTCGGACTTTAGATCATATTTACAGAATATCGTCCGGTTATTTGCATACGGCGCCGCCGTCGACTCGCCGAGTCTTCTGTGTTTTCCGCCGATCGGAATCGTTTTCAAATTTCCAACGAAAAGCGCATTCGCAAGATCAAACGACCAACGTTATTAATATTATTGCATCGCTTTTAACAATCCAAAAAGTATTCGATAGTTTTCGGTAGTAATACCGTATGCTGATGACCTTTTTTTTTTTCTTCCCTTACCGGCCTGTCTCCGGGTGTCCGTGGACTATCCAACATACCTGGTCTATTATCATGGATAAACCGGTAGTTCGATAACCTGTAGTTCGATAAACCGATCGATGGTTTTAAACTATGGACTAGTTCTTTTCGAACGGTGTAGTAATTAATAAGCGGTCAGGGGCATGTTGAAACCAGCTTTGAACTGCAACTTTTTTTATAATTTTCAGTGGCTGATTTTTAATAAAACACGCTGACGAATTTTGAATGTAAACGAAATAAAAAGAGCTAATATTGGGGTGCGGCCACTGTTGTAGGTGGGCAGTGGGGATGATGGGATACATAATTATTTCATTAATACCTGTAACCAACAATAAACCATTGATAACGAAAACCGATTCGGTGCGAAGTTCGGTTATACATATTTTGAAAGGCTGTAATATTTACGATTTGGCACTAGTGATAACATAATATTAGTTCACCAACAATCTTAATAGCTGAAATAATTAACAAATTATATCTGTTATGTTTATTATGACGTGTAGTATTTAACATTTAGTATAACGTGTACCTAGTTGTTTTTCAAATTAAACTAAATACATAATAATAATTGATAATAAATTATAGTAGTTGATAATAGCTTGGAGTTGCTACGATAGTATATTAATTTACATTCACGTGTAAACAGTACTCCTTAATTATTTGTCTTACTGTCAAATAATACATTAATTGTTTTCAACTTATTCGTTGAAATTTGGATGTTAAATTTATTTATGTCAACAGTTGTTTTCTTAAACTTTCGTCTAAAAACATTATACTATTTTATAGATTATAGTTGTACTTTTAGAACAGAGTTGAACATCGATCCAAGTATATCGTCTAAAAAAAACGATATACCGTAAAACGCGCGGCTTAGAGACGCCCGTCCGTCCGGATTTTCAGCCAGAGCTTATAGCTTATAGCTTATTTCAGAATTCTTCCCACTAGTTTTGAGATCCTGCCTCCAGACAATGAAGAACATTTAGTAGAAGTACATAGGTATTTATATAATTTTATAACAATAATGATTTATTATTCTCTTATGTATTTTTTGTCCGTCTGGTTTTTCAGTTTTTTGAGCGTTCGTTGGCGGTCTGCGCCAATAATTTTTTGCGGGCAGATTATATCGAATTATGGAATTCATGGAATATAAACGCAACAAGACCAATAGCAAACCGCTCTCAGCGGTTTGTATTTTCGACAATATTTAGTAGAAAACCGTTCAAAGCGGTTTGAATTTTCGAAATTGCTCTCATATGTTAGGTTTTATCATACTTCATCATTTTTAATTATTATTTATCGTGCCGAGAAGTTTTTTTTTCATTCAATTACGTTAGAAAGGGTGTAGCTAATATACAGGCCTGGTAGGCGCGGGCTTGTGCAGATTTTCTAAAAAAAAAAAT